TCAGTAGCACTAGATATATGTTCAAACCGCATACCCCTAAGAAAAAAAAGAGGAAGAGATGCAGATTGGAACGGTAACGTCGTTCCCTATATAGGCGAAGAAAACGAATCGCTGAACAACTTGAGTCGCACCCTACCTCAAGAACGGCAAAGAAGGTTAGGTAGAGAAACAGAAACAATTGAACTCAAACTACAAGAATCATACAAAACCCAGGAGAAGCAAAGAGAGCAAAAGGCCATCAGTGAAACAGAGAGAAATCTGAAATATTTTTTCTCCTATGGAAAATCAAGATCAAAAACCACATCTAGTATTGGGCCCCTGCGAAAGGGAGATGGAACTTTCATTGATGACAACAAAGAAATGAGCGAGCTACTGAGGAAGCAGTACAACTCTGTTTTCAGCGAGCCATTAAATGCACTAAAGATTGATAACCCAAAGGAATTTTTCATGGATATGATACCAACATCAAATCATATATCAGACGTCACCCTATCCCCACTGGATTTTGAAGAAGCCATAAACAGTATGCCTATGCACTCTGCACCAGGCCCGGATTCTTGGAACTCCATATTCATCAAGAACTGTAAAAAACCAATATCGCAGGCCCTCCACATTCTGTGGAGACAAAGCCTAGATACTGGCGTTATCCCTGATATACTAAAAACAGCAGAGATAGCACCACTTCATAAAGGAGGAAATAAGGCAGAGGCAAAAAATTAGACCGATAGCACTAACATCGCACATCATAAAAATTTTTGAGAGAGTGCTAAGAAGTAAGATCACAAAATACATGGAATCACAGCATCTCCATAACCCCGGACAACATGGTTTCAGAACAGGGCGCTCTTGTCTGTCACAGTTGCTGGACCACTATGATATGGCATTAGATGCTATGGAAGACAAACAAAACGCTGATGTAATTTACACAGATTTCGCAAAAGCTTTTGATAAATGTGACCATGGTGTTATTGCACATAAAATGCGTTCAAAAGGAATTACCGGAAAAATAGGCAGATGGATCTACAATTTCCTGACTAACAGAACCCAATGTGTAATAGTCAACAAAATAAAATCCATCCCATCAACTGTGAAGAGCTCAGTCCCCCAGGGTACTGTACTTGCTCCAGTACTTTTTCTCATCCTCATATCGGACATAGACAAGAACACAACCTATAGCACTGTATCATCCTTTGCAGATGACACTAGGATCTTCATGAGAGTAGGCAACATAGAGGACACGGCAAACCTCTAATCAGATGTAGATCAGGTCTTTCTATGGGCTACAGAAAATAAGATGGTGTTTAACGAAGATAAATTTCAGCTCATGCGCTATGGAAAAAATGAAAATATAAAAACAGAAACCACGTACAAAACTCAGGCAAATCATAACATAGAACGAAAAGGCAATGTAAAGGATCTGGGTGTACTCATGTCGGAAGACCTTACCTTTAAAGAACACAATAAAGTAGCAGTCACAACTGCAAGAATAATGACAGGTTGGATAACAAGAACTTTTCACACTAGAGATGCTATACCGATGATGATACTTTTCAAAACGCTTGTGCTCTCTAGAGTGGAGTACTGCTGCACAATGACAGCCCCTTTCAAAGCTGGAGAAATTGCTGACCTGGAGAGCGTGCAAAGATCCTTTACTGCTAGAATCCACTCAGTAAAACATCTAAACTATTGGATCCGACTAAAGAGCCTAAATCTGTACTCCCTTGAGCGCAGGCGGGAGAGATGCATAATAATTTGCACGTAGAAAATATTAGAGGGGCTGGTCCCAAACCTGCACACAGGAATAACATTACATGAGACCAGAAGACATGGCAGGATGTGCAGAATACCCCTGTCGAAAAGCAGAGGTGCAACAGGTACTCTGAGAGAGAATTCTATCAACATCAGAGGCCCGAGACTGTTCAACACGCTTCCGCTACACATAAGGGGCATAACTGGCAAACCCCTCACAGTGTTCAAGAGAGAACTGGATAAGCACCTCCAAAGGATACCAGATCAACCAGGCCGTGACTCATATGTCAGGCTGCGATCAGCCGCGTCCAACAGCCTAGTTGATCAGTCCAGCAACCAGGAGGCCTGGTCGACGACCGAGCCGTGGGGACGCTAAGGCCCGGAATCACCTCAAGGTAACCTCCATGGGCTTGTATCTATATAGTACAGTGCCCCATAGGCACTGTGCCAACATAGTTTCAGTTGTTAGTTTATCAGGATTCATTATTCAGAAGATTCTTGAATAACTGAAAAATGTGCAGCACAATTAACAATATATTTTTTTTATAATACAGTTTGATTCCATCGGACAGCTCCTAAGATGTTCTCATAGATAAATCACCATTGTGATTTCGTTGTGCAATATGTCCCAATTTCCAAAATAGTGCTGAATATGTATACATGGAATATTAGCCTATCTTCTCGAGCTATCTTGGTGAATTAGGGGCTTAGGCTGCCTCCTTGTTACACACACACACCCATGGGAAGCAGCCTGTAGCAGCTGTCTAATTCCCAGGTACCTATTTACTACTAGGTAACAGGGGCATCAGGGTGAAAGAAACATTTTGCCCATTTGTCTCCGCCTCCACCGGGGATCGAACCCGGAACCTCAGGACTACGAATCCGAAGCGCTGTCCACCCAGTTGTCAGGCGCCCTGACAGCTGGGTGGACAGTGCCCTGACACCCTAGGATAGGGTTAGAATATTAGCCTAGGATAGGGTTAGAATATTACCCTAGGATAGGGATAGAATATTAGCCTAGGGTAGGAATAGAATATTAGTCTTCTTCTTAAGGTTATCTTCAGATGATTTCGAGGCGTAGCGTCCTCGCAGCCCAATCCTCGACCAGGGCTCCTTTTTGTTACACATCCCCGGGAAGCAGCCCGTAGCAGCTGTCTAACTCCCAGGTACCTATTTACTGCTATTTGAACAGGTGCATCAGGGTGAAAGAAACTGGCCAGGACAGGGTTTGCTATTTAGTTTAGCAATGCCCCTTTTTGCCCTGTTAATCAGTCAGGCTGTGATTCATACGTCAGGCAGTGAGCAGCCACATCCAACAGCCTGGTTGACCAGTCCAGTAACCAGGAGGCCTGGTCGAGGACCAGACTGCGGGGACGTTCATCCCTGAAATCATTGCAAGGTAAGGTAATAACCTAAGTGTTCATGTCACTGCACGGTGACCTGAACATAAAGAGATGACAGTCTCCGTAGTGTAGTGGTAAGACACTCGCCTGGCGTTCCGCGAGCGCTATGTCATGGGTTCGTATCCTGGCCGGGGAGGATTTACTGGGCGCAATTCCTTAACTGTAACCTCTGTTTAACGCAACAGTAAAATGTGTACTTGGATGAAAAAACGATTCTTCGCGGCAGGGGATCGTATTCCAGGGACCTGCCCGAAATGCTACGCGTACTAGTGGCTGTACAAGAATGTAACAACTCTTGTATATATCTCAAAAAAAAAAAAAAAAAAAAAAAAAATGTAACCAATAATGATTTCCTATTGCTTGGGACAGGAAGCTTGTTAGGCTTATTGAGGTTCCCCCTTAACCAGCACTTGACGTTCTCTAGGATACAGCCAATCACAGTTTACACTTTAGGATAAACTTGGCAGTCATCAGCCTAATCAGTTACTGTATTGGAATTCCAAGTGGAATAAAAACTGTAATGCTGTACTAACTTTTAATGAAAATACAGATATGATGTAAATTGCAAGAGATGTCTCGCTATAAATTGAGACTTAATATGTAATCTGTGTATAATCATAAAAATATATAAAAGACCTATGGAAATATTAACCAAAATATGTTGGTGACTAAGGTTTGTGCCAGGCAAGGTAAGGCAAATTAGCACTTATGTGGCCAGTGGCCCCCCCCCCCTGATGTTCTACATGTGTTCTACATGTTTATATGGCTGTAGATGTGTGGAGAAATGGCTAAAATACCTATTTGTTTAGCCACCGCATTGCACACCTGGTTTCGGCAAAAATCTCATAGTGCAATTGTTAAGGACATTTTTGTTGTTTTTATACATGTTCAGGTAAAGTTCATGACAAAATGTTTCCAAACTAAACCATTTTCATTTCAGAACACAGTGATGAAACATTAAAAAAAACATTTAAATATAGCCCAATTAAAAACAAAAAGCACAACTTTCAGAGCGCCTCAAGGCACTCTGCACAGTGCTGTGGTTAAAGCCCTGCAACTGTGTGTCCGGACACTTGGTGCACACTGAAACTCCAGACTCCGGCAGATTTTTGTTAATACTATATGTCTATAGGTTATACATGTACAATACATTGTCTATTCCAGTGTCATTTTATAAAAAATGTCTTTCAATTCATACCATAACTTTGGAAAAACTGAATATTACATTTTTTCTTTTATTCTTTATTAATTTTTTTTTTTATTTTTTACTTCTATATACAAGAGTTTTCACATTCTTGTACAGCCACTAGCACGCATAGGGTTTCGGGCACGTCCTTAATCCAAATTTTCCCCAAAATACGACCCTCCAAATTGTTTAACAACCCATACTCATTCATTGCTGGGTGAACAGAGGCTACAGTTAAGGATTGGCGCCCAATAAGTCCTCTCCGGCCAAGATACAAACCCAGGCCAAAGTGCTCATGAAACGCCAGGCAAATGTGTTACCATTACACCACGGAGACTGCTTAGGCATTGTCTAAGCAGGGACTTAGCTTGGACTGCTAATCTACCGACAATGTCAATGTTCTTCAGTGTCTGGATAAGGATACTTTACCTTATGTTCCTGCAGTGGTGTACTAGTCCCTGTAGTGCTGGCGTCTTATCTTCCTGCCATATTTAAAGGGATTATTTGTTATGCACAGCTGATCACTATTCCTCTGGAAGGGTCACAATGTATACGTACTGTACTTTGTTTAGAAATAAGATTTTTGCAGTCTTGGATTCCATCTTTTGTTTGCTTATACAAAGTAACATGCATCTTTTATCAATACTTCTGTTCTCTATCAGCATTAAATATGGAGGAATCTTCTGCATCATTGCCATCATCACAAGATTTGAAGGATGACCCTCAGGATGAGGAAGAAGTGGAAACCGAGGAAGGAGAAGATTCGGAGGATGAAGATTCGGAAGAGGAGGAGGAACCAAAGCTAAAGTATGAAAGGATCTCGGGGGACTTGAGGGAAATACTGAAGAAAGATGGAGCATCATGCATTTCAGCCAACTCGAAGGTGAGTCGCAGTTCATGCTCAAAATGTTTGCTGATACAGTAGTAAACCCTCATTGTACCAAATTGTTATAATGCACATACAGGAATCAGTTCTATGAAGTCAAATGATTTATTCTGTATACAGTATATTCAATTGAACAATTGAATTATACCATGTAATTCTAAATTATTCTAATGTAAACATTTTTAGAATCCCAAAATTGTAAAAAGTATTATACAATGACAATACTCCTAAGCTTTGGGTAAATGTCTGCCAGTATTCATTATATGTGGCATTCATTATAAATAAACTGATGCACTAAACAGTGAGCATGAAAGAATTGCCAAGTGAAATGGAAGTTGTTGTTTGGGGTTGCTGTTTCATTAGTTTCCTGGTCTGGTCATTTTATATTTCATTCTTAGCACTTTCCTGTTGCACTTCTTTTATTGAATTTAATTTTAGACTATTTTAAATGAACCTACTTCATTGTAAATTATGTTACTGTGTGAATACAAGTTTAAATTTTACAGTACAAAGTTCAGTACCATGGAGCCTTTCTCCAATAAATTGGAAGCAACCTTTGTGTACAATGAAATTTTCCTGTGTACAATGAAATTTTCCTGTGTACAATGAAATTTTCCCGTGTACAATGAAATTTTCCCGTGTACAATGAAATTTTCCCGTGTACAATGAAATTTTCCCGTGTACAATGAAATTTTCCCGTGTACAATGAAATTTTCCCGTGTACAATGAAATTTTCCCGTGTACAATGAAATTTTCCCGTGTACAATGAAATTTTCCCGTGTACAATGAAATTTTCCCGTGTACAATGAAATTTTCCCGTGTACAATGAAATTTTCCCGTGTACAATGAAATTTTCCCGTGTACGATGAAATTTTCCCGTGTACAACGAAATTTTCCCGTGCACGGTGACGTTGTCCCGAGTACAGTGAAAAGTTTTCCGTATACAATGAAAAGTTTTCCGTATACAATGAAAAGTTTCCAGTGTACAATGAAATTATCCAGTGTACAATAAAATTTTCCAGTATACATTGAATGTTTAATTTGTAAAGGACATGACTCATGTTGTGGTGAGTGCCGCTCCGTATGAAATGTCTGACAGTGAGCTGTGGAAGGCGCTCTCTCGCTATGGAAGTGTGCATGGAATTCACTCGCACTGTCATTCATCTGGACCCGGGAAAGGACTTTCATCTGGGAACTGGACTGTGGCCATGAAGATCGTAAAGAAGATCCCCCTCATCACTGAAAGTGGCAGGATGGAATGTGTATATGTTTAATCACATGGCGGCTATATGTCAGGTTTTTCCGGAGGACCAGGCAAATTTTTCCACTGATGGTGGGGCCTGTGCATAGAGGTGCTGGTGAGGTGGTTGGTGAATCCTCTGAGGCATCGTGTGTTGTCCCTGTGGATGGGTTTAGTGTTGATCAGGCTGTTACACCTGTTCTGTCATCATTTGCTGGTGGTGTGGCAAGTGATGGTGGTCATCATCCGGTGTGATCTCTGAGGAAATGGTAGGCAGTGGCTGTGGTGGTAGGGGTTGCTTTTAACAGGATGGTTGATTTATTTTCTGGTGATATGGTATCACATTGCAAATGTGAAAAGTTGCTTGGCAAAGTGTTGGTGAATTCACCCAAAAGGAAGTGGTGTGTAGTTGGGGGTGGTTCAAGTGATGAAGGAGGTTTGTCTATGACTCTCCCAGTTCATCGTGGTGTGGGTAGGAGTGAGGAGGTGTGTTGGGATTGAGTACTACAGATGTTGGAGGTAGCATGTTTGGAGCAGATGCTCTTTTGTTTATGATCTTGTTAATAATATTTCATGTACTTGATAATTGTTTTGTTGTTGTTACTGGCGGAGAATAAAACGATGTGGACGAAGATTGTTTGTCTGACCAAAACCATAACAGTGGCGACGAGAATTAAACATCGCTGGCAGAGAGCCTGGGTACGAGACGTGGTGTGAGGATCAAGACAGTGCAGGGTACGTCGTGTGGACGAGTGGACGCTTCACATATAACAGGGGAGTGTGTTACACCGTGGCCATGGCTACCATGTCAATCGAGCCGTTAAACACTGCCAAGATCTCGTTGGACCTGTGGCTCAGCCTGCTGGAAGCAAACTTTCAGTACCGGGAGATTAAGGAGGATGCCACCAAGAAAGCGGTACTCTTAGTTTCACTGGGTTCTGAAGCATATAGTGTTCTCAGAAATTTGTGTGCACCCGAGCTACCGCACACGAAGATCTATGTAGACTTGATTGCTTTGCTTAAACGTCAGTATGTGGTGAAACCATCATATCACAGGAGTTTGATGGATTTCCAGAAGAGGACGAAAAAGCAGCAGGAGTCCGTACAGGATTTATTTGCGGAATTGAAGGCTTTGGCTAACCACTGCAACTTCGGAGCACAGTTGGACGGCAGGGTTAGGGACCAGTTGTTCATGGCAGTGGAAGAGGAGAATTATTTCCCTAACCTGGTGCCAGAAAATTTGGATCTACAATCGATGACTTCATGGACAGTGCTCGAGAAGATATTGAACCTGGAAAGGGCTTTTGGAAGTAAGACTTCTACTCGGGAAATTATGGTCGTACAGGGCCAGACCAGATGTACACACTGTGGATACAAGCACATAAGTAGCAAGTGCAAGTTTCGTGCATATATATATGCACGAAACTTATGTTTCGTGCATATATACATGCACGAAACTAAGTGCTTATAAGTGCACGAAAATAAGTGCTTATGCAACTTTTGTAACAAGGGGGGACACTTGCAGAGGGTGTGTAGGGAATATCTGAACAGGAACAACAAGGCCTGGGAGAGGAGACGACCAGGGAATGCAGGAAGAGGTAGTGGTACTGTGGTCAAGGCAGTAGAGGAAGGTAACCAGTCTGAAGAAGCTGCAGGTGAGGAAAACCGACTATATTCGGTGAAAGAAAAGGTATGTTCAGTGAAGTCACAAGTGGTGAATTTTGTAATTAATGGGAAGTTAGTTCCCTTGGAACTGGACACTGGTGCTGCAGTGTCAACATTGTCTAGAGATTGGGCAGATACCTTGCAATTGAATGTAAAACCAGGTAAAAAATCTTTTAAGTGCTTATGATAATGTACCGATTAAGGTCTATGGCAAGGTGTCGGCAAAAGTAGGTTATAATGGAAAAGAAATTGTCCAGGATTTTTATGTAGTGGATTCACATAATCCTAGCCTATGTGGTAAGGATCTCATGGAAAAAGTGGGAATTGTCTTGACGGGCCTAGATGAATTGTCAATAGTTAAAACAATTAAAAGTGCCGAACAAATGTTAGACAAATATTCAGTGGAGGCAGATGAGCCAATTAATAGCATGGTGGCAAAAATTCACCTGAAAAGTGGGGCTTCACCTAAATTTTTCAAGGCAAGAACAGTGCTGTTTCATTACAAGCAATTGGTAGAATCAGCCCTGGAAAAGCATGTGGCAGAAGGCATCTTAGAGCCAATTACACATAGTGAGTGGGCAGCCCCAATTGTACCAGTGTTGAAGGCAGATCGGAAATCCTTGAGAATCTGTGCAGACTTCAAAGAACTAAACAACCGCATACACTGTGAGAAGTACCCTTTACCTAAGATAGATGAGTTGTTGTCAGTGGTCTGCAAGGGAGCAATTTTTTCTAAGATTGACCTGAAAGATGCTTACTTGCAAATTCCTGTAGAGGAGGAGAGCCAGAAATTGTTAGTGATTAATACCCACAAGGGGTTATTTAAGTATAAAATACTTCCTTTTGGACTCTCCTCGTCTCCAGCAATTTTTCAGAGATTCATGTCCCAGTTGTTAGTTAACATTGAAGGTGTGGCTAGTTTTTTAGATGACATTATTGTATGTGGGGAGAATGAGGAAGTGCATGATGCTAGATTAGAACAAGTTTTGAATCTTTTGCAAAAGCACAATGTGAAGATTAATAAGGGAAAAACAACGTTGAAGACCAAGGCCATTGAATATCTGGGGTACCATATTTCTGGTAAGGGCTTTACTCCTTCTCACAAAAATGTAGCTGCTATAATAGATGCCCCAGCCCCAACATCAGTTGGGGAAGTACAGTCTTTTGTTGGGATGGTTACATATTTTTGTAAGTTCGTGAAGAACTTTTCAACAAAATTAGCACCCTTGTATGAATTGTTGAAAAAAGGGGCTAGATTTAAGTGGGCAGCAAGAGAGGAAAATGCATTCAGGAATATTAAGCAGGAATTGATAAATTTTTTTTTTTTTTTTTTTGAGATATATACAAGAGTTGTTACATTCTTGTACAGCCACTAGTACGCGTAACGTTTCGGGCAAGTCCTTAATCCTATGGTCCCTGGAATACGATCCCCTGCCGCGAAGAATCGTTTTTTCATCCAAGTACACATTTTACTGTTGCGTTAAACAGAGGCTACAGTTAAGGAATTGCGCCCAGTAAATCCTCCCCGGCCAGGATACGAACCCATGACATAGCGCTCGCGGAACGCCAGGCGAGTGTCTTACCACTACACCACGGAGACTGCGAATTCTCCAGTACTCACTAATTTTACAGGTAGACTCCCGTTAAAACTGGAGGTAGATGCTTCCCCAGTAGGAGTGGGTTGTGTATTATTACAGGAAGTAGATGGTCAGGATAAAGTAGTATATTTTGCTAGCAAGAAATTATCTCCTGCGGAACAGAATTATTCTCAGTTAGATAAAGAAGCCTTAGCTTTGGTATATGCTGTAAAAAAACTGAGGTATTTTCTGCTGGGGAGGAAATTTCTTGCTAGAACAGATCATAAACCCCTGCTAGGATTGTTTGGCAGAGGTAAACAGATTCCAGTTAATGCCAATGCTAGAATTCAAAGATGGGCATTACTACTCTCTCAGTTTGAGTATGATTTAGAGTTTAAACCAGGCAAGGATAATGTAGTAGCTGATGCATTAAGTAGATTGCCTGTGACAGAAGAATTAAATTCCAGTATTCCAGTGGAGTATGTTAACCTGGTGGAATCTATGTCTTTTGAGGA